GGCACGTGACTTCAGACGTGGACGATGGGAAGGATATGGTCATGAGAGAGCTGGAGGAGATTTCAAACAGAAGCAGCAGCAAGGAGAAGCGTGTTCATTCTTCACAAATGAAAAGAAAATTGGGGGACTTTGGGCAGATTGCTTTACCTCTTGGAGCTCATTGTCTTTATTTGTAAAACTAGAGTTCCACTTAAAGATCCCTGTGGACTTTTCTAGGTCTAAAAAATTAAACTCATGTGGTTAATTAACATGAGCAGTAGGACTGAATGTAGTCTTCGTTGTTTGTTTGCATTAGACAGATCTGCTGTACAAGACCTCTTTAAAGTCTTTAAGAGCAAAGATGTCAGTTTGAAGACTAAGGTGCGCCTGACCTAAGCCATGGTATTTTCAGTAGCCTCATATGCATGTAAAGGTTGGACAATGAGTAAGGAATACTGTAGAATTGATGTGTTTGAGTTATGGTGCTGAAGAAGATCATTAAAAGTACCATGGACTGCCAGAAGAACGAACCAATCTGTGTGGAAAGAAGTACAGCCAGAATGCTCCTTAAAAGCCAGGATGTCCAGGGTTCATCTCTCATACTTTGGATATATTATCAGGAGGGACCAGTCCCTGGAGAAGGGCATCATGTTTGGTAAAGTGACGAGTCAGTGAAAAATAAGAGACTCCCAACGAGATGGCATTGGTACAGTGCATATACAAGCGTAGCAGTAATTGTGAGGATGGTGCAGGCCAGATGGTGTTATGTTCTGTTGTGCAGAGGGTCACTATGAGTCAGAACTGACTCAACAACAACTGTACCTTAATTTATACCCTAAGGGAGGTGGAGCTCTGGTAGCGTAGTGGTTACGAATCGGGCTGTGAACCGCAAGGTCAGCAGTTCGAAACTACCAGCTGTTCCGCGGGAGAAAGATGAGGCGTTCTGCTCCCATAAAGATTTACAGCCTCGGAAACCCTGTACAGGGTCGCTATGGGTCAGAACCGACTCGACGGCACTTAACAATAACAACAACAAGGGAGGTGGAGAGGTTCTGTGGTAGAATTCACATCTTCTTTGAGGGGAAATCTTGGAAGGGTTTGATTTTTGCCAGTGTACTTCAAGTAGCATCTACCTCCTATCTATCAGAGGAAGCTTGCATGTTGCTGTGATGCTGAACAAGTCTCCGTGGAGCTTCCAGATTAAGGTGGACTAGGAAGAAAGGTTTGGCAGTCTACTTCTGGAAATCAGCCAGTGAAAACCCTTTAGATCGCAAATAGACTGATGTGCAGCCATCCTGAGCACATAGAATCATTTTCCTTTATTCCTGCAGGCCGCACATCTTACATTGGGAGGCCGCTGCCTCTCATAGGAGCCAACCCTGTCTGTGACTGTGTGTTCAGACCATCTACTACAGCATTTGGGTGTTAGATACCTGTGGCTCTCATAAGCTGTGTTCTCCAGTTTAGCTGTCATCAGTAAGAATGGTGCTCTTTTTATCTTCTTGTGCCATGCCCTTATCTTATTTCTCATTGTGTTCAGAATCTGGATGGCTCTCTCAAAGCCCCCAAAGTTGAGATTTTGAGTGAAGGGATTCATCATGGTAAGAAGGATCCTGTTTAGTCTGAGGCAGGATCAGGTAATAGTTGTGAAGTACTAGACATATTTTGAGATTTCAGAGATTCAAAATTATTCAATAAAGTAGGAGGCAAAATAATCTGTTGAGAATGAGGCAGCAGGCAAGGAATTGAGAAGTTAAAAGTTGAAAAGGTTTAGGAAGGGCTCAGTGGGAAGTGTACTGAGCTGCAGAGAACCATAGGATGTCTAGTGACAGGACAAACTAGGGAAAGATCACAGGGGTGCGATTTCAGGGCTCCAAGGGCAAAGGTGGTGAAAACTGCTCGGTACGATGCATTTTGTCCTTAAATTATATAAATTTTCAGAAGTACATGGTTGTATATATATTGTTGTAAATGCTAACCTATGTTTCTTCTAATATAATTGTTGTTATGTGCCATAGAGTCAGTTCCAACTCACAGCGACCCTGTATAGGGTTTCCAAGGCTGTAAATCTTTACAGAAGAAAGCCTCACCTGTGTCCCGCGGAACAGCTGGTAGTTTTGAACTGCTGACCGTGAGATTAGCAGCCCAATTCATAACCACTATGCTACCAGAGCTCAGCCGGCCAGTAGATTAACTTTCCAAGTCTCTGGGTAGTACAAATGGCTGTTAACCAAAATGTCCAGGCCTTCCCAGAAATGCCTAATATTCTGTGAAAACTGGATGGAGTTAGTATTCTATTCTGATCCACACGGGGTCATCATGACTCGGAATTAACAGGTAGATTAAAATAATCCTGGTCTCAGTTGACCAAGGGTGGTTTTTCCCCTGTCTCTTTTTGCCAGTGTGTGTATGTGTGTTCAAGTTGGGTTTTTAAAAAAGCTCAGTTACTAAATAACTGCATGTTGGCAGCCCCAAACCAGAGACTGAGTTTTTAACATCTGCTGTTTCTTATTACATAGATACAGCCCATGGCTTTAGTGATAGCTCCTTAATATGTCTTCCTTTCTTGTCTCATTAAAATGACAAATTCAATAACTCTTTAAGATTCATGGGAAAAAAACAAAACAAAACAAAACAAAAAAACCTTGCCTTATCCTCTTTTACTAGCTTCTCCAGAAAGTAATCCCAGACTATTCTTTGTATCCCTCTTGTCTCAACTCCTGTTGCACCTGATATGGCACCACAGGATAAGCACCGGACCGCAAAGTTGGTTTGAATGGCAAGTTGGGTAGTTCAAGCCCACCAGCTGCTTTTCAGAAACCCTGTACAGGGTCACTATGAGACAAATCCAACTCAGAGGCAATTAACAACAACAGTATTGCAGTTGGGGAGTCCTGGTGTGGTGCTCTAAGATAAGCATTGGACTACTAATTGCAAGGTCGATGGTTTAAACCAGCTGCTCCTGGGAAACCCTATTTCTTGTTGTTGTTAAGTGCCCTTGAGTTGGTTCCGACTCATAGCGACATAGAGTTTCCAAGGAGCTGGCTGATGATTTGAACTGCCGGCCTCGCAGTTCAAACCAATCTTGTCATCCAGTACTTATCCTGTAATGCCACACCAGGACTCCTCTATGGGGTGGCTCTGAGTGGGAACCAACTTAATGGCACTTAATTAACAACAACATTGCATTTAGGGGATGCAGTTTGGTGGAGAGCAGAAGTAGAAGTCAGAGAAAGATCTCTCTGTAGGTTTGTTTTTGTTGTTAGGTACCATTGAGTCTGTACCCACTCATAGTGACCTTATTCACTGCAGAACGATCTTGGGCCAACCTCTCTGTAGGTGGTTCCACTTAAATTGGGGCTTGGAGGGCAAGGAGGATTTGGGCTGGTGGAAATGGGAGGTAGAAGCCAGGAGTATTCCAGATATGTAACTCAGTTTAATCCAAAAGACATGGAGGTATGGCATTGTGACCTTGAGGTGGTGCTGGTTTGAACCTGCAGTTTGGCAAGAGGATGAAGTTGTAGAGGGAGTGTTGTTCTCCAGCACTGGAAACATAGCTTGAAACCAGATTGTCCAGCACTGTGGGTGGGCACATTCTGCTGGGTAAGATTTTAATGAGGAAATAGCCTGTAGAGAGGTAGAAACAGAAAATTCAATAGGGTTGATTGGCTGCAATGAGATTCTAAAGGGTAAGGAAAGAAAAGGGTCTAATGGAAAGGCAGACAGAGCTAGAAGGGAAGTAAGGAGGAGTTAACCAGAATTAGAAGGGAGGGTTTCATTTCATTTGAAAAACCAAGCAAGAAATGTTTTGTAGTTGATAAACGGGTACATCCTGATATTTAGAAATACAAATAATTATAATAATAATATATCTGTCAAGAGTTTTTATTTCTGTTCCCCTGCCATTTCTTTTTCAATTTTGGTTTTAAAAAAATTAATAAAATAAAAAGAAAGAAAGAAAGAAAAGAAAAAAAACAGCACATACGGAAAGAAATTAGGTTCACAACAGGAACTGAAACAATTTCAAATTTTTCTTTTAGTCAGATTCCTATTATAAAATAAGAATACATTTTGATTCATAACTTTTATGATGAACTTGTACATTTTATTACAACATCTGTTTCTACATTTAATTTCTCTTCCTTTTTATAGGTATTTGCATACTTTTTTCTTCCAAATGAGAAGACCTTTTGTTTGCCACAAGAAGGTTATTATCCAGAATGTTAATGGATTTTTAGCTATTAAGATGTAATGATATACCTTGAGTATTTAACTATAAATTTGAAAAATCTCCATGAACAATCTCAAAGGAATACTTAGAATGCACTCCTGGTAAATTGGCTCATTTTTCCGTAATTTACTGGCAGTGCTGATATGAGAGCAGTCCTAATGTGAAAAGTACATTAATCCCTGGAGTTACACTGTATGTATTACATTATTACTCTCAAAGAAGAAAGCATATGAGACCATTTAGCCTTCACTCACACTTGTTACTTAGAATCACAGTAGAGAAACAATCACTTATCTTTTGATGTACAAAATTAGGAACAATACATTTAATATCTTTTAAAACAAGAGGCATAGTGATCTTCAGTTATGCTTTTGCATAACAATTGCTCTTTTCCAAAACAAGGACTGTTCTAGAAGCATAATTTATCTGGTTTTGTGGAGGCCCATTTCATTCCATTGGTAATTGGAATATTTTTAGAAACCCATCATGCAGCTTTCTTTGATGTCAGTCAAAAACATTAGTCTGTCTTCTGCTATGATCATCTAACACATTGGGGGATTATTTAAGGATGGTCCTCAACTTGCAGAAGCAGCAGTATTAGCAGCATTTAGGGTCTGTTTGCAATCTCATCTAATTGTGCTTTTCTTTTTAGCCAGGGGACTGAAAGTTGTGGAACCATTATTTGTGACATCAGGTGGTTTTTGTGAGCAGACATTTATGACTCTGGAAGTTTGGGGCAGATAGGAAACCCATTCTGAGAGTTTCACAAATCTCTCCAACAACAGATATCATGAACGTAACTCTGGACCCTTCCCGCGATGATCTCCCGCTCATGGCCAACACCAGCCGCATACTTGTGAAACACTATGTGCTGGATTTAGACGTGGATTTTGAAAGTCACATCATTGAGGGCACCATAGTGCTTTTTTTTGAACCTGGAAACAGACTCAAGAAACAGAGTAGCTCCTTTGAGGAAACCTGCTCATCGGAGTCAAGCGAAGTCCATGAATTTAGGATAACAGAACCCTGCCCTACCCCTGTGACAAACACCAGGACCTTCTCTTCTAAAGCGGGATATAATGATTTTGCAATCTGTGGTAAAGGTAAAAAAGATACTTCTGATAAAGATGGTAACCATGACAACTGCGAACAGGCTTCTGGGATTTCTAGTTCACAGTGCTACTGTGACACAGGGCATGATGGGAGTGAGGATTTTTTGCTAGTGTTGGACTGCTGTGATTTATCTGTGTTAAAGGTTGAGGAGGTGGATGTTGCTGCTGTGCCAGGTATTGAAAAATTTACAAGGTCTCCCCAGCTCCCGGTTGTTTCTGAGGAGCGCAGGAATCAGATTGTATGTGAACTTGTGACTCTGCCTGCACATCGTTGGAGGGAGCAGTTAGACTGTTATGCTCGATGCAGCCAGGCTCCTGGCTGTGGGGAGCTCCTGTTTGCCACTGATGCATGGAGCTTACAGATCAGGAAGACAGGGGCTCAGACAGTTACTGACTTTCCTCACGCCATAAGGATACAGTACAGAACCAAACCTGAGGGGAGATCAGTTTCGTGGACCTCAGACCAGAATGGCAGGTAGGTCACCCAGCACTCCACAGCCACATGCCCACTCACATACTGGGAGATGGACCTTTGCTCTCAGACCAGGACCAACCCTGCAGGTGCTCGGGCTCATTCTGTGGCATTACCCTTCTAGTTTCAAACCTTAGCCATGCCTTGAAGCAAGCAGGCTGAACTCTGAAGGGATTAGCTCCCTTAGATCAGGATGAGAAGATTACTTTATTAAGTCCCCAGGAGGTGAGCCTAATGATTCAGTTCTGAGCCCAGCTCTCCATTGAGAGCTCTGCCACAATGGCCAGGGCAGAACAGGAGTGATATGTGTCCTGGAGCAAATACTTTCCTAGAGTTCCTTCATATTTCCCCCTAGGGTAGACTGCTGTGAAGTTGGATTGTGGGAAACCTGACAAAGTGTTTCCAAATAAAGCCTGCTCTGCTTTGTGAATTTCTTACTAAACCATCTCTTGGCGAGTTTGCCTCTCTGGATCGTCTCAGTTGTCATTGTCTGTGAGCCCCAAAGCACTTGACAGTTGTGTTTCTGAGAGCTGTGACCATCTGTCCTGCTGACACTGCGCACTTGCCTCTTTGGCCGTGTTGCTTGGTGTTTGATGCCAGGAAGATCCTGGGTCCCTAGTGTGGGGCGAAGGGGTTGATAAGGCACCAGCTTCCAGGGGACAGGCTCAGACACCTATACCGTTGGTCCTTACTGCTGACAGTTGTTCAGAGTGGTTAGAAATGGAGACTTTTAAGTCAAACTTTATTGCATCTTTATCTTACCTATTTTTTATGCCTGCTTACTGCAGATAAATCTGCCACACTGGACTCCCTAATTAGGGCAGGGGTCTGCATACATTGCTGACATTTCTCCCTCCTCAAAAACAAAACACACACAGAAACCTCTGGATCTTTTTTAAAGCATCACTTTGACTTTGAGCTCTAATTATCCTGTCCCTTGCCTTCTAATCTTACCTCCTGCTATGGTCTCCTACCCCACTCAAAATGAGTTCAGCTTCCTGTCTAATTCTTGCTAGAGTCTGAGACAGCCTTTGGAAAATTGTAGGGTTGGTAACAAATTTACATCATACTGATTTATTTATAGAATAACTTATTGAGTGTTCTTTGGAGACCATCATAGAAAAAGACAGGTGTTCTTATTAAACCTTTGAATATTTTTGAAATTATTAAATGTGAGATTTTTAAAATAAGATTTAATGATATGCTGTCTCTGAATATTTTACTAGGAAATTGTAGTTTTTATACTTCCAAATATTTCATTTTTTAGCTAGGATAATGGGGAAGAAGAAACTATTGACAATTATTTGAAAGAAATGCTTCCTCATTACCATTCATGACTTTCCCCAAAGTGTTCTCTACAAAGAAAGAGAATTACACATGAGGATGAAATTACATGTAAAATTGTTGAATGGAGTAAGTTATGGATACGTGCTTATGGTTTCCATAAGAGGCTAAAGAAGTCCTTGGGCACATTTTATTCCTGCAGAGACTGACTTTGTGAATTTATTCTTAGTGTCTCCATTTTTGAGAATTCAATAGAATACATGACCACAGCAGGAGCGTAAACTGTATCCTTGAGAGTTTGTGAACATATGTTAGTAAATAAATGCCATGTATGCAGCCTAACAAGGAGAGTAAATGTTTTTAAAGAGGACTGCTAGAACAATATTTCCTCTCTCTTTTGGGGAGGGAGGAATTTTATGTGTCAACTAACTTTATAAATCAAAGTAATCTTCCCGAGTGGCCACAGAATCTCTCTAAACTCTCTAGTCTCTCTAAATCCATGCCTAAGAACAAATCTAAAATAATACTGGTAACTACTTGGATACTTTAAGGTCTTCAGGATCCCTAAGGAACCCTGGCTGCTAGGCAGAAATAATTCCTTGATGATACCTCCAAAATTTGATACAGGGTCTCAATACCTTATAAATAGAACAGTGCTAAGTAGATAAAGCTCTTGGCCTTCAGGGCATAAAGTCTCTGCTTATTAAAACTAAAATCATTGTTACATGTTTATGCCTGAATAGCAGAATACTCTCAGTATAAGAGCAAAATCCAAACCCACCGTCTTTAAGTCAGTTCCAACCCATAGTAACCCACAGTGTTTCCAAGACTGCAAGTTTGTATAGCAACAGGCTGCCACATGAATCTCCAGTGAAGTGGCTGGTGAGTTCCACTCTTCAGTTAGCAGCTGAGTGCTTCAACACTGCGACACCAGGACTCCTTCACAATCAGAATGTTGTTGTTGCTGTTGTGTATACTGTCCAGTCGGTTCCAACTCATAGCGACAGTACAGGGCTCCTGAGGCCGTAAATCTCTAAAGGAGCAGAAAGCCTCATCTTTCTCCTGTGGAGCAACCATGTGGTTAACCGTGTAATGCGTAAGCCATCTATCAGTATACCTGTCATAAATTAGCCAAGTCCTGGATGAAGAACTTTTTATTTAAGGAAAATTGAATAAAGCCACTGAAAGCTTCTAGAAAATGGTATATACGTCTCAATTGTGTTAATGCTTGAAGGAAATGACATAAAACTTGTATCAAATTCCATTGTTTTAATTCAGCAAGTCACGACAGTTAAGGATATCAGAAAAATTGGGAACTGTTCAATTGTAAAAGCAAGCTACTTCTTACTTTTGACTTTTACTATGTTCCTTACTATATACAAGTTGATTCCAAGTGCATTTAAAAAGCAAATACTGGCTTTCAATAAATTTCTTCTTAAGCGGTGATTAGACAGAAAGTTAAAAAAACAAAAATCTCTAAATTGGTACAGTTCCTTTCGTGTTGCGTAAGTGGTTTCTTACTTCTCAACCTTATCTATGTCGAGACTAAACTTTTTTGTCTTTTTGTTTTAATCATTTTTTTTTATAATCAATTAATTAATAACTAACCATTTAGGAGATCAGGGACGCCCAGGATGGACTAAACAATCTGCAGGTTACTCAGGTCAGCAGCCACTCCTACTTGCCCGTCTGTGTTAGTAACCTTGCCCACACTTTGAAACAATGGCACCCACCCCTGCTCACAGCAGATCTCAGGTTCACAATGACCCTCACTTGCAGCATGTGCAGCTTTTAAAGCGCTGCGAAGGCTCCAACTTTTTCTTGCATTGAAAACCCACTGCTGCTGTCTAGTTGATTCCGACTCCCGGCAACCCTGATGGGACAGAGTAGAACCCTGGTGTTTTCCAGATTATAAATCTGTACAGGAGCAGACAGCTCATCTTTCTCCCTCAGAACAACTTGCCTTTGTTTAGCAGCAAATGCTTAATCCACTGTGCCACCAGAACCCCTTTTCTTGCACTTAAGTAAGGCTAAATAAGAAATGTATGCACCCACAAAGTGACTGACCTGCACATTCTAAAAGGCAGTTAGGAATGGATCTCATTCAGAGCTGGGGACCTGTACTAAAAATGCATGAAACAACCTCACTGAAGGAGTTGGGAGAAAGGTGTAGACCAGAGTAACTTTGGAAATGAGTAGAGTGTAGGACCTCTAGTACGGTGCTGTAGGGTCAGCATTGGACTACGAGCCACACATCCAGCACTTCAAACCCATCAGCTGCTCCTCTGAAACCCTGTACAGGGGCGCTATGAGCCAGACTGACTTGATGGCACTTAACAACAAAGGTTACTAAAGTGGTTTTCCAGGAGGTATGGAGTCCTGGTGTGGCGAACCATAAGGTTGGTGCTTCAAGCCCAACAGCCACTCCAACAGCTGCTCCTTGGAAACCTTACACAAGGTCCCTTTGAGTGGCACTTAACAGTAACAACATGCGTATGTACTAGAATTGAACAGTTAAATAATGGATGGCAGATGGTAGGAGCCAGGTTTCTCACTGGGAGCTGGAGGCTACAGATAAGCCAGAGAAGGCTAGAATGATCCATAGTGAGGATTCGATCTGGAACCATCAGTAAGAACTCATGCTTAGTTTAACATGCATACAGATAGTTATATAGAGATTCATAGATATGTATGTATGTATACCTGGGATAGTAGACATCCATAAATACCCTTGTTCTGTCAGCTGAGAGGGTTTAGAAGAAATGACATCCAGTAGCAGTCAGCAAGCACATCCAGATCTTGGATTCTAAGACCATTCTCCAATAAAAGAAATCTGAGCCACCTGAAGAGACAACTTGAAGCATTTTACATTCCCAAAAGTTAAGAAGTGCTCAAAAAACAGTACAAACAACCCACAGTGGCGGAGGTATATTGAAGACACATAGTAACTCCTGATAACCAAAGCTGAGCAACAAAATTAAGTAGCACCGAATTATAACTCAAAGTATAAAATAAATATTTAAGAGAACATACTGATACAATGATTGAATAAATACATAAATAGGAGAATAGACAAACCTCATGTGTATAGAGACTTTGCACTCATGGAGGTGGGAAACGTGACTCCGTATTCCTTATGTGTGGGCTACACATAGTAAAGAGTTCAGTATGGAAAGGGAAGTAAAAAGTAACTTTATATTAGAAAAGCTTGATCAACATTCATATAAGCCTACTTTACTTCTGTGGTCTTCCTTTCCCAAACCCATAACCTAAGTCTAATTTTAATTCAGCAAGTCATGACAGTTAAGGCTGTCTAATCATGAGGAGACATTCCAATAAAGGGACACTCTACAATATACTTGGCCAACCAAAACCCAAACCAAGCCCATTGCTGTCAAGTCTATTCAGTCATGCTGACTATGCAAGTTCAAATTAGAACTGCCCTGTAGAGTGTCCAAGGATGTGAATCTTTATGAATGCAGACTGCCACACCGCCTCCCATGGAGTGCCTGGTGGATTTGAACTGCCAGCCTATCAGTTAACTACTCAGAACTGTGAAGGCTCAGAAACTGTCACAGCCAACCATCTGCTGCCATTGAGTTGGGTGAGCTCATGTGTCAGAAGTGAATAGGGTTCCTTGGGGTTTTCAGTGATTGATCTTTCAGAAGCAGATTGCCAGACTTATCTTCTAAAGCATCTCTGAGTGGACTCGAACCTCC